AAATATCCTATTTCATGTGTGGGAAAGGGGGTTGGGTGGGTTCAAACTTCAGTAACATAATTTTTCTCCAAACACCAACACTTTCCTCTTTTTTAACTTATAATACTGCGACTTGTCTGTAAAAAGGGGGGGGGGGGGGGCTAAACCTACGCAGCAATATTCAATGTCTATACTTAGTATATATTTGTAAAAAAGCCCCCCCCCCCCCCCCCCCCCCCCCCCCCCCCCCCCCCCCCCCCCCCGGTTCCGACACTTAATTCTGAACCTGGACAACAAACAAGAGAATTTTCAAAAACCTAATTGTAGGTAGAATATGGAATTCTCACGGGGGGGTTTCCTCTCTCTTTTTATTTGCTTTTTCTAGTAATCATTAATTATTTATGTCTAGAAATTTAATTCACATTAAATTCTATTTTCATTATCATTGTACCACAGAATCAAACTCGTTTATTACCCCTTGCAACAAGTTGCGTAAGGTATAATGTTTTGGACCCACCAGTCAGCCCATTTTTTGGGGGTCAGCGCAACTTCTTATGAACTATGCTGATATTCAGAGGATTCAATGTGTCTGTATTTGTACATCACCAGGAAATTCTGAAATCTTTATTTTTTCGGGAATGTCCGCACTTTTACATTAGATTTTGGCCATATCTTGAATATAAAAATGAGCACTTTGTCAGCTAGCACAATTCCTCATAAACCGGTGCATACAATTTCGTCAAACTTAGCAGATAATTAGGTCACAATGTGTATAGATACATGTGCATATTACAAGGAAATTACGATTCCTTTATTTTTTTCTGTGAATTTCAGCACTTCGACTTATGTGGGAGTGTGGGTTATGTGAATTTGCTCACTTTTTCTTTCATTGAGCATAGAATTATAAATAACTTTAAATCAAATTATATTAGGTCTAATAAAGCCAATATACAGTATTTATTTGATCATAAAGAAATCCGATCTGTTTCAGACGTTTTTCTGAAAATATTTTTATGAGAGTGTTATGCATGTTTTACCCCCCCCCCCTTTCACGGGAAAATGTCTTCATATCTTCAATAGGTGAATGATTCGTAATAATGCATACTTTATTATAAATTTGATGAAGTTGAACCATGTTTTCAAAAAATTTATTTACACCATTTACAGACAAGAGTTATGTTTATTTTTGAAAAAAAAAATCAATCAACCCCACTGAACTTTCAACCTTTGATATTTTCCCTGACGAAATAAATTGATAGGCATGGACCACGTGTGTCCAAGCAGTTTTTTACTGTTGAGTTAGCAATGGATTACATGATTTATGAGATGCATTTTTCAATAAAAGTGAAATAGGATAATTCTTTCGACATATGCACATCCCTGTAACGATAGCAGTATTCAGGTAAATATTTCTATCGCTGCGTTTGACGCGTTTTCTCGACTGACTTGCATGTAATTTTTGCTCTACTTGAATATATTCCGTGTAAGTTTTATTTTCTATATTGCAGCAAATGCATTCAAAAATAATTTAATTCTCGGAATAGATCTAGTTTCTGTTGAGTTTTTACTTTTCAAACATGTATATTGGTCAGTTTATGGACTTCTTAAAACTTTGCTATCGGAGATGTGCACATGTCGACAGCCAGGATAGAAAATCACTCAAGTGAAACAGTTCTGAAATCCTATATATAGCAGGTACAGGTGGCCAAAAATGTTCGATTTAATATGGCGGAATCGAGGAAATATGGCGGACAAAGGCGTACAGGAATTTAGTAAGTCGTACAAAGATGGAAACTGATGCCTTTTTAAGAGTTCATGTCAGCTTTAATATTAAAGGTAATTCTGCTCCTGTGTTAAATCTCTCAGATAAATCTAATTTTGTTCTGTGCCTTGTTTTCTGCTGAGTCAGCTGATTGAGGAATGGGATAATTCTTGAAATGGGGTGGGATGGGGGTTACATATGCATATTCTATGGGGTGCGTCGATTTACCCAAAAAGAACCCAAAAGGAAATCAAAAGGGCTCAAATAAATATATCAATATACATTGAAAATTAATAATTCGAATTAAATTATAATTATTATATTATAAATTTACCTTAAAGTTTGCAAAAACACACATTTATAATATTGGAACTTAATATTATGATACAACTTTTATTACACATTAAACACTTAGTCTAAACCTGGTCATATATGCTTTGATTTATTATAGCTGAAATTTACAAAGTACACTGTATTATTCTATTTCTCCTTTGTTTTACCATATCTTACTATATGGTATTTGATAAATAGAGAAATAAAGTTTTATTTAAAGACATGTTCTAGGCATATGGTATTGGGGTGGGTGTGTGTATGGGGGTTGGTGTGTGTATGGGGGGTGGATGGGTGGGTGGTGGGGGGACCTCCCATTCCCACCCCAAACACACACTTTACCGTCAAAAAACTAGTTTTAGTTTTAATAAAATATGAAAGTTTTTATTATATATCCATTATTCTCTTTATTTCCAGTCCTTTTGGGTCGTTCTTAATTTCCTTTTGGGTCCTTTTGGGTTCCTTTTGGGTCCTTTTGGGTTCTTTTGGGTAAATCAATGCACCATATTCTGTGAAGAATTGGTTGAGTTTCCAAAGAATAAGTAGAAATATACTGTGTTAAATCTCTCAGAGATAAATCTGATCTTGTTCTGTGCCTTGTTTTCTGATGAGTAAGCTAATTGCAAGAGGAATAAAAAAATTCGGAAAAGAGGGTAGGGGTGAGACAAACAGTCATATTCCAAGATGAGCAACTGATTGAGTTTATACATTTTTTTTCAAAATGAAAATTATAAAGGTTCAAGAATACTGTTAACCAACTTTTGTTCAAGTGCGAGAAATTTTAGCGAAGTTCGCGACAGTCTCACCATCGCGAATATTTCTCGCCACGAACCGGTACGTTACACCCCTCTGTCTATTTACAAAAGATCAAAAGAGGCCTAATCGCAAAAAATAATCATCGCCAAATAGTGTACCCTTGGTATCTCACAAAATAAAGTCGTTGCAAATTAAAGTTGATTTACAGTATGCAAATTCAGAATCCAAATATTTATTCAAGTCCATTTTCAGTTAATGGCCTATACAGGGATTGACTGAGGAACAGACTACATTCAAAGCACTCTTAACCATGTTAACAATCAACATCAACCATTTAAGAAGAATTCCCAAGAACCATACACATTCCAAAGGAAAACTTCAGTCTTGTCAACCATGTAAAAGAATTCTCGAGACCCATAAACATTCCAAAGGAAATCTTCAGTCTTACGTATTCAAAGTACTTACAAATAACTACTGAATTCAGTAAGTCCTTATAACACCCAGCAGTAGCACTGTAAACATTACAGTGTGTGTTATGTATTGATATCAAACACTCCAACCGGAGTATAATCTTATATCAACCCTACTTCAGAGGCCCCAAGTCTCTCCGATTCCATTAACCGTGATGTAATAATAAATACACAGTTAAAGCACATAGATCGACAGTTAAATCTGAGAGAAACATCTTAGCAAATTCTTCGATATTTAGTTTTCTGTAAGCAGAACTCAAAAAAAAAATATTTTAAGTGAGATCACTAATGTCCAGCTGACATATCAATTTCTTTAAAAAAGATGAACCTCTATTCAAAGGTCACCTCTCTATAAAGTTCACTTTTGATAGATCCCGTAGGTGACCACTTAATACAGGTTTGACTGTATTTAGTTTTCTGTAAGTAGAACTCAAATTCTTACAGCCAGTTGAATAAACTGTTAACTCTTTCAACACTGAGTAACTTTTATCAACCAACCCCTGGTACACTGAGTAACTTGGGGCATCACTAAACATTTCACCTTCTGTCACAAAAAATACTATAACTTCTTTATTTCTTTGAATATTTTAATAAATGACACATCATTAGAAAGGTGAGGCATTTCTCTTTTAAATGATATAAATTTTATATATCTAAAAAATTATTTATCAAGTCAAAAAAACTATTAAATTCATAATTACATTTTATAACGGATCTTATGCAATAATTTGATAAATTTGCTGCTATGAAGTTTCAAAATCAATTATGTTCTACCATGGTTCAAAAAGAGAAATTATTTCTGAGTAAAATGATATGCAATATGTCAGCATTTATCAAAAAGCAAGTCCATAATTGTCAATAAATAAAACAGGGTGTTTCAGAACATCGGAAGAAGTCTGGCGCATTGAAAACATCCTCTGTTTAGGAGCCTTGATATTCCGATTCCAAGTCATCTTTCTCTGACAAAATTTCACAACATTGTTAATAACTCATGTATTTGTTGTCTAGAAACATTTATAATGTCTAATTCCCTCATTTTATGAAATCTTTCATCGCCAGAAAGATCGGACATTTCGTCGTTTACCGCCATTTTGCCTTCTTCTTCGTTTTTTTTACTAATCATCTAATTTTCCTTATTTTTTCTTATTTTTCGTCATGTCGGCCGCCATTTTTGTAAACGGATGTTTACATCATTCTACCCATAATTCATAGCGAAAGATTTTGCGCAGAGAACACTTCCTATTTCTAAGAATAACTTGTTTACTTTCACCATGTGCCTGAGACCGAAATTTCGGTCTACCTTGTTCAACGACGTTTTTTTTTTTTACCGAAATTTCGGTCTACCGTGTTGAAAGGGTTAAACAAAGTGTTCCCCTACCCACACAGTTAGGTAATACCCCCCCCCCCCAAACTCTTGCTGTTTAACTTCTTTAATTTTCACACTCATCTTTCTTTGATAGTTTACCATTCCTTATACCCATGTCATATTTGCATTTCATTTCTTCTCTAACCCTTTCTATTTAACCACTCTCCATGATTCCTCAATTTTTTTTTTATTACTATCCCCCATCCCCAACCAAACTCTCCCTGCAACCCACATTCCCATCCCCTAATGAAACTCTCCACAGTAGCTCCTTGACAGATTGATTAGCCATACTATGACTCCCCTTATATTTCACTTCTATGGCTTTTCCCTGACTTACCATTTCTTCCAGCTGTTCTATCTTCATCTCTAACTCTTCCAGCTCTTTCTTCTGGTCTTCCTCCAATTTTTTAATTTTTTCTCCGAAATCGTATGTCATGTCTGCCGCCTGTCTCTTCAGCTCGATCTCAAGTTGAACTTTGAACTCTGACTGCACGTCCATGATCTCAGCTCGATGTTCATGCTCCAAGTCCTGAAAAGCATTTCCTCATTTTTCACATTTGTTTCTTTTATTTGTATAGTAATACTAAAAATATACCTTAATTCCTATTTCAATGCCTTGATCTGCCTTCTCTCTCACCCCTTTCTCCCCCTCTTCTCTCTCCATTTCTCTCTCTTTCTCATCTCTTTCATTGCCTCTACTTGCTCTCTCTCTAACTCTCTCTCACCTGTCTTAATGCCTCTATCTGCTCCCTATGCTGATGCTGTAGCTCGTCGTACTGCTCCTCTTACACTCTCTCTCTAACTCTCTCTCACCTGTCTTAATGCCTCTATCTGCTCCCTATGCTGATGCTGTAGTTCATCATACTGCTCCTCTAATACTCTCTCTCTAACACTCTCTCACCTGTCTTAATGCCTCTATCTGCTCCCTATGCTGATGCTGTAGTTCATCATACTGCTCCTCTAATACTCTCTCTCTAACTCTCTCTCACCTGTCTTAATGCCTCTATCTGCTCCCTATGCTGATGCTGTAGTTCATCATACTGCTCCTCTAACACTCTCTCCTGCTCCAGTGATGCGTCCAGCTCTTGTTGAAGTTTCAGCAGTTTATCACTGATCTCGCCTGTCGTTCTCTCGCTCGACTCTTCACACTCTGCCAGGTCTCTCCTACACTTCTCCTCCACTTCTTCCTTCTCTCTCTCCAGAATCTTCAATATGGCCTCTTTTTCCTTCAATCTGTTATTCATTTCTTCAATATGGCACTGTTTTTCACGCATCATTTGCTCCATCTCTGTGACCTTGCTTTCTGTCAAGGTCATTTTCTCCCTAAGTTCTATATTTAGTTGAGACTCTAATTCTAGTTTCTCCTGAAGTTCAGCAATTTCATTGGATTTTTCCTCCAGTATTTTTTCTAATTCCTGGATCCTACTGTCACTGTCTACTGTTGCCTTTGCTTCACTCTGTTCACTGCTTTCTTGATTCTGTTCTTCACTTTGTGAGGTCACTTCCTCTTTCAGTGATGTCACTTCCTGTGTTGTGGCTTCTAGCTGACTGCGTAGTTCTTTTATTTGAGATTCATAATGATCTTTTAAATCCTGGGTTTCTTTTTCATGCTCTTCCTTTAGTCTAGTCTGCATGGCTTCTTCTGTAAAATAAAACATTTCACATATTATCTCTAACCTGTCAAGAAAATAAATTCATGCACTTTCTGTTTATAAGTAAGTCTAACATTGGGAATTGACCTGTATCAATATCTTTTACCTGTTTACTTATTGAGAAAATGTCTTCATAAATATTTTCCATCATTAGATGCATCAACCATGCAAGTTAAATCATAACAGGCTGTAAAATTACAGTGCTACTCTAAAAACATTACCCTGATCACTCATCTGGAAAATATAGGTCAGATCCAGTATCTGATGCAATCTGATCTGCACTGCATAATCCTGGTGAAGTTGATCTATTTAAAACTCTGGTGGAGTTGATCTATTTATAACTCAGGTGGAGTTGACCTATTTATAACTCTTGTGGAGTTGATCAATCTATAACTCTAGTGGAGTTGTTCTATTTATAACTCTGGTGGAGTTGACTTATTTATTACCTGACTGCTCCTCTACTTTAGTTTGGAACACTTTGATCTGCTCCGCGTAACTCTGGTGGAGTTGTTTTATTTATAACTCTGGTGGAGTTGTTCTATTTATAACTCTGGTGGAGTTGATCAATTTATTACTTGACTGTTCCTCCACTTTAGTTTGGAACACTTTGATCTGCTCCACGTAACTCTGGTGGAGTTGTTCTATTTATAACTCTGGTGGAGTTCTTCTATTTATAACTCTGGAGGAGTTGATTTATTTATAACTCTGGTGGAGTTGTTCTATTTATAACTCTGGTGGAGTTGACCTATTTATTACCTGACTGTTCCTCCACTTTAGTTTGGAACACTTTGATCTGCTCCGCGTAACTCTGGTGGAGTTGTTCTATTTATAACTCTGGTGGGCTTGAGGTAGTTATTACTTTGGTGGAGTTGATCTATTTATAACTCTGATGGAGTTGACCTATTTATTACCTGACTGTTCCTCCACTTTAGTTTGAAACACTCTGATCTGCTCCACGTAACTCTGGTGGAGTTGTTCTATTTATAACTCTGGTGGAGTTGTTCTATTTATAACTCTGGTGGAGTTGACCTATTTATTACTTTGGTGGAGTTGACCTATTTATTACCTGACTGTTCCTCCACTTTAGTTTGGAACACTTTGATCTGCTCCGCATAACTCTGGTGGAGTTGTTCCATCTCTCTCTGGAGTTTCTCCACTTCCTGTGTCTGGGTTGCCATGACTTCCGCTCGGACCTTGAGAAGTTGTTCGTACTCCTCTAACATACGAGAGCGGAGCGCCGCGATCTCTTCACGCTGGGTTTCCAAAGTCTCCTGGACATCTGCAAAATAACGCATATTATACAGTAAATCATGCTTAAAGTGAACGCAAATTGACACTTGTACAGTAATATGATTTTCATTCCAAAAACTTGTAAATATATACTTAACAAGAGGCCCACGGGCCTTATAGGTCACCTGAGCATTATGCATCAACTTTCCTGTTATTGAATTTGATTCATGTTTTAATTTAAGCCAGATGATATATGGCATTCACAATTTTGAAAGAGGCACCATTGGTCATAATAACAGTACACTTAACAGTTGCTTAGCTTGGTTACTGAATATCCATACGCAGGGTAGGGGACCAACTAATCAGTAATATTCAGCAATAATCAGTAGTGCGCCTAACACTGTGAAATAAACCCCTTACCCTAGGTCCACACATTGCACAAATTTAATAAGACACTCTTAAAATTGCCTATCAAAAAATAAATGAATGTTTTATAAATACAAAGGAGCAGATTTCAAACAATTTATTTTCAGTAAATAAGTAGAGCCCTCCCCCCCACCCCTGACCCAGGTTCCTTGAAATTCACAAGTCTGCAGCTTAGGGCCCTTGCTCGTCATGACTATATAGGTAGTTAATCTGCTTCATACCCAGAGACAGAGAAGAAAATTTTCAAAGATTTAATGGATTTTCACTATATAATCAAAAGAGCCCCGCCTTAACATCAGAACCCCTGACTCTGGGGCCATAAAATTAATAATTTTAGAAGAGGCATTCTTGCCCATCATAACTATGTACTTAGTCTATTTAATTCCTAGGAGCAGAGAAGAAGATTTTCAAAGAATTCATGTATTTTTACTATATAATCAATACAGTCCCGCCTCCTCAACACCAGAACCCCTGACCTTTGGACCATTAAATTTACAATTTTGGTTGAGGCACTCTTGATCATCATAACTATGCACTTAGTTAGCTTAATTTATACTTAGGAGCAGAGAAGGTTTTCAAAGAGTTCATGAATTTTCACTATATAATTAAAAGAGCCCCCCCCCTTCAACATCAGAACCCTTGACCCTGGGGCCATAAAATTCACAATTTTTGTTGAGGCACTCTTGCTCATCATAACTATTTATTTGGTAGGTTTATTTAATACCATGGAGCAGAGAAGAAGATTTTCAAAGAATTATTGTATTTTCATATATTATCAATAGAGCCCCCCCCCCCCACACACACACACCAGAACCCTTGACCCTGGGGCCATAAAATTCACAATTTTCGTAAAAGCACTCTTGCTCAACATAACTATACACTAAGCTAGTTTATTCAATACCTAGAAGCAGAGTAGATGATTTTCAAAGAATTCATGTATTTTAATATGTAATCTATAGAGCCCCGCCCTAACACCAGAACCCCTGACCTTGGGACCATAAAATTCACAATTTTTGTTGAGGCACTCTTCCTCATCATAACCATGCACTTAGTTGGTTTATTTAATACCTAGGAGCCGAGAAGAAGATTATCAAAGAATTCATGTATTTTCACTATATAATCAATAGAACCCCCCCCCCAACACCAGAACCCTTGACCATGGGGCCATAAAATTCACAATTTTGACTGATACACTTTTGGTCATCATAACTTTGTACTTGGTTAGTTTATTTAATACCCAGGAGCAGAGAAGAAGATTTTCAAAGAATTCATGTATTTTCACTATATATAATCAATAAAGCCCCACCCTAACACCAGAACCCCTGACCCTGGGGCCATAAAATTCACAAATTTTGTTGAGGCACTCTTGCTCATCATAACTATGCACTTAGTTTATATAATACCCAGGAGCAGAGAGGAAGATTTTCAAAGAAATAATGCATTTTCACTATATACTCATTAAGCCCCGCACTAGCACTAGAACCCCTGACCCTGGGGCAATGAATTTCACAATTTTGGTAGAGGACTCAATGGTGATTACAATCATGCAAACAGTTTGACTGCTTGATGTCCAGGAGTAAAGAAGAAGATTTTTAAAGATTGAATTAATTTTAGTGGTTTTGGCCCCGCCCCTCAGGCCCAATGGGGGCAGGGATCATGAAATTCACAATTTGTGTTCCCTTTTAGCCATAGATGCTTTGTGCCAAATTTGGTTCAAATTGCTGCAGTGGTTGCAGAGAAGAAGCTGAAAATGTTCAAATGTAAACACACGATGGACAACGGACGACTCACGTCGCACGATGACGGACGAAAACGGATAGCAATAGGTCACCTGAGTTTACTCATGTGACCTAACAAAAGTAAAGAAGCAAAATTGTCACTTATTGGCATTTCGTTTCAAGTGCCATGTTTTTACTGCAAAAAGACCAATGAGCAACATGTAATATTCTGAAGTGCCCTTTAAAAAATTTTACTGTACATAACATTTTACTGCAATGCATGCAGAAAAGCTGATCAATCATATTTTATTGATTTGATAGAAACAACATTTCAACTCTAAGTATCTTCACAATGCAACAGTTTTGAAAAATGTCATTACAAACTTCATAATGAGAAGACAAATACTGAGTAACTTCTACCAACATTTTGCAAAATACACAGAAATTTAAAATGATTTAAGCTCAAAAAACAATTTACAATTCATTTACTTCATAAGAAAAATAAAATTTTACCCTAAAGAAATGTAATTTTCCTCTGGTCCATGATACTGAGCACAAAATAATTTGTTTTAAAAGTGATCTGCAAGTCAATTAATAAGGAGGGTTGAACACAGTTAATCTGTGTGTACAATATACCCCCCTGTAAGACACTGGGTTTACTGGTGAAGTAAGTGTCAACACATTAACATAGAAATGTTGTTTGATTTCACACCAAATCACAAAGAACCATCAGTTAAAGGGAACATTAAGGAGAAAATAAAGAAAACACTCTCCAGTTTATAGTACTATACATGTACATAGAGGCGTCTTAATGTTATACACAGGGTAACTGACATAAACTCAGGGTAGTTTAAATTCACTTGTTAGTTAGGAGTTAAAGGAACCACTATGGAGAAAGGATGCTCATTTCCTTTAAAAAAAAAAATCTCAAAGTACATACAGAATCCAGAAATTTAGGCAAAAATAAAATTTTTATCTGAGGATTTTAGTTTCACATTGCTAAGTAATTTGAACTTCAAAAGCTGGTGCACTGACTTGAATTAAGTAAACTGGTCACCAGCTCAGCAACTAAATTCAAGAGTTAGGACTTTTATTATTTTCAATAAAAAAAAAATTCATTGCCAATATCAGTGGTATTTCAGATTTAAATTCGGATTTCATTAAAAAAACCGGTCACGGTAGCCTAGTGGTAGAGCGTTCGCTTCGTGATCGGGAGGCCCGGGTTCGATTCTCGATCGCGGCGCCGCGTCATACCTAAGACGTAAACAAAGGTAGTGACTGTTCCTTCGCCAAGCGCTCGGCACTAGAAGTGAAAGTCACGGGTCTTTCGGATATGACCTTAAAAACGTAGGTCCCGTGTCACGGTAGGCGCTGGCATGATAAAGATCCCTCACTGCTCAATGGCCCTGAGTGCCGAGTATAGGTCTAAATTTGAAGCCCTTCACCGGCATCGGTGACGTCTCCATATGAGTGAAAAATTCTCAAGAGGGACGTTAAACAATATACAATCAATCAATCAATCATTAAAAAAACCACTGAGTCCCTTGTTCATGAAAGCCACTTAAAGCCATATATGGCGTATGTGCAATGAAAATTATTAGACTAAAATTATAAGAACTTATTATTTGTATCATTACTTTATAGAAAAGATAGAACTTTTCCGTAAATTACAAAATCTAAGTCAATTGCGTTATAGAGATATCACAATTTAAATTTGATTCGCGGAATTTTCTCCGTATCGGAAGAAAATACAAAAGATTTAAATAACACATTACAGAGAAGATAAAATTGTATTTTTAGATGAGACGAGGTGTTCTCCGTGTTCAGAATTATATGAAAAGCTTTAATTTGAATGTATTAAGGTATTCAATGTATAACGACCATATTTTGTACCTAATAAATGAACAGTCCAATATTTTTAATCATGGTAGCAATTTGAAGATATTATCAAATGAAAATGCTCCACCAAAGGAATTTACAAAATTTTGATTATTGTCCAATTAATATCACTTTGAATTTTACATTGAAGTCTATGGGCAGTGCACGTTTTTATAAGATATTGTAAAAATTAATTTGAATTTCAAAGAAATCTCTTGGTGGAAATATGCATAAACTCCCTCTTTATTAAAATATAAAATAAAATAAATTATTTACCGCAAAAATTTTGTGAAATCAAAAAATTTCTTCTTTTCATCAAGGGCAGATATCTCTTCAAAAACTGTAAATGTACAAAATGACCGTCTCCTTACATGTTATCAGTCTTGTGAATTTGGTTTATTTCACTTTTATCGTTTTCTAGCTGTGTGCTTTTAACTAGATTAAAATTATTTAAAATCAGTCAAAATCCCTTCGTTATACATTGAATACCTTAACTATATTTCTTTACTTAATTTTGTATTTTTCAAAAATAAATTTTTTTGATCAGTTACGCCATATATGGCTTTAAAAGATGTTTTAAATCAACTAAATGGAAAACATCATACCTTTGTCTTCATTCAAATGACATGATAGGACTTCAATTTACATACCAGCTACATATCTGACCTTTTTAAGGTACATTAACCCTCTGCGCACTCATATGAATTTTTTTTTTAACTTTTATGATTTTACAGAGGAAATGTATAAGCTGAATAAAAAAAACCAAACAATTATAGAATGGCTTGCTGGGCAAAATTTGACCAAAAAAAACCCCACTTCAACTTGGCAAATTTATATAGGAATATTAGACATTTGTGTCATTAAGAGTTATCTCTCTTATCAGAGTGTCAATTTACCTTAATTAAAACAACATCTTCTTCAGAAGGATTCCAGAACAAAACCAAAAGGTTCCTGTCCATTTCCAATTTTAGAAATGAATTCAAATGAGAAACAAAGATTATGCTGATTTTAAAAGTAAAATTTAACTTACGTGCCTTGTATGT